CGATGCGCCGCTAATGCCGCATTGAGCAGTGCCGAATCATGGCTGGAGCTATTGTCACCGGTGTCTTGAGACGTAGCATCTCGATAGCTGGTGTTGGCACCGATCGTGTACTATTACGAAGGCGCCGCCATTGGTACACGGTGCTATCGATCTTCTCCGTGCAAAGCCGTGGTCCGTCGCACGTGGACTCAGATGCACGCGGCGGTTTCGCCGTTTCCTCCGGCTCTCCTCGTGACATGCACGGGTATACAAACCTCAAGTGAGAGGACCAATCACAACCAGCTGTTGTCGGCATGCCCAGATGCGACCAACGGTTTGAGATCGCTAGACACGACGCGACACCAGATTTGCATTCTCGCCGTCATGCGCCCATCGTATCACGAAGTCAAGTCGCCGGTCGTGCTCAGCGCGGATGCGCCGACGCTGCACCCGTCCGAGACGGCGTCGTGGCCAGCCCACGTGACGCTGTCGTGGCTGAGCCAGCTGTTGCGCCGCGGCGCCAAGACGCCGCTCCAAGAAGACGACGTGTGGTCTGTTCGACGCGCCGACTCGGCCGCAGCGCTTGCTGCCCGCTTCCAACAGCAGTGGCGCGCCGAGCGCCAAACGCTACAGCCGTCCTTTGGCCGAGCGCTCTTGCGCACGCTGCGCTGGGAGTCCATCTCGGCCGTAAGTCTCTACTTTGCCTCGACGTTTCTCTCGTTGCTGCAGCCGATCCTAATCAAGTCGATTCTACAAGTCCTCACGGGCGAGTCGTCGGTCGTTGGTATTGCGTCGGGCTACGTGCTCGCCGTCCTGCTCACACTCGTGACGCTTCTCTCGGTCACCGCGATCGACTATGGTCAGTCGTGGATGACGTCGATTGGTGCGAACGCGCGGTCGATCGGAATGGACGCCATCTTTACACACAGCCTCGCACAATCATCAGCGCGGGTTGCTTCGTCGGGCGACGTCGTCACGCTCGCGTCCGTCGACGCCGAGCGCCTCTACCTCGGGTACCTTTTTGTCGCGTGGACGCTGACCGTGCCAACGGCGCTCGTCTGCATCTTTGTGCTGCTCGGTATCGAGCTTGGTGCGTGGCCAGCCCTCGCCGGCGGCGTCGCGATGTTTGGCATGCTCTACCTCGGGTACGCGTCGGCGACGTCGGTCGGTCATGTCCGCGCGCGCCTCCTCTCAACGCAAGCACAGCGTCTCAAGCTCACCAACGAGGCGCTGGCCGGTGCCCGCGCGCTCAAACTCAACAACTGGGAGCGCCATCTCGAGGACGAGATCACCCGCACGCGCACGTTGGAGCTGACGTACTTGCAGACGTACCAGAACCGCCGCATCCTCAACATGGTCGTACTCTCCGTCGCGCCCATCTTATCGCTCGCGCTCTGTCTTGGCATCTACGTGGCCCAAGGCGACACGCTGGATGCGGCAAAAGCGTTCGTGGCGCTTGCCTATATCAACAACGCGCGCCACCCGTGCACGGTGTTTGCAAATGCCGTCGTCTCGGTCGCCGAGGCCAAGGTGTCGGCGAAGCGTATTGGCGACTTTTTGCTCCAAGATGAGCTCCCGTCACTCGTGCCACTGACAACACATACGCCACCAGTTTGCAC